TCCTTAAGATATTCAATCAACTCCACCCTTACAAAAATGAAGAAAAAGAATTCCCAGTCCTGGACCATGCCCACATGTGAATAGCTCAAAGAAATCCTCATCTCTGGAATTGATTAATAAGAAATAAATTTACTTCAGGACATCAATACAGAGAGGTTTATATTTTCCTTAGGATATAGCTTGGGATCCAGCTCATTCTAGAATACTAAAATCCATTCCACATCTTTGTAACCATTCCACTTCTGCCCAGCTCTTTTCTTCTGGGGAAGTCTCTCTGATCGACAAATGTAATTGAACCCTTGTTTTTACACAGAGGCAACCGATTTCAGAAATGTCATTGGTTATTGGCATGTTTAAGAGCAGTGAGGGGAGCAGAGATGGAGATTTAGTGTTCACCAAGGTATTGAAGTGACAGCACAGGGGCATTTTTTAGCCACTAGGCAGACTTCAGTTGGTGACTTACCTGAGAAACATAGTTAACACTTGACAATCATTTTCACTAGCATTTACTGTGATTAGCCAATGAGCTATGCAACTGGCAGTCTGTAGATTTGTTTTTGTGGCCAGTCATCTGGAAAGCCTTCCAGAATATTCAATTAAACATTCTGTTCCTGTGCAGCTACTAAATATACAGAGTACTGGGGCAATGTGGCGTAAGCTTTGGAAAGCTTAAAATCCTTGACAATAGTCAGTACATTTCCAGCAGCATATAATGAGCAGTTGAATTCCCCTGGAACAATCTTAATTTCTTAAGAAGAAGGAATGGTTAGAGAAAATTCAAATGGTTGCATGAAATATTTTAAATTAGGTAGGGAGAGAAGAAACCAGAGGCTTTGAAATGAGGGAGCTGAGAGCCAGGTGAGAGAATGGAAAGGTGAACTCTACTTATATAGTACGTGGCTCCCCTCCCAACAAAAAAGAAATGGGTTGATGATGCCTACAGAGATCCAAGAGGTACAAATATTAGAAATCCTTAGTTATTTTCTGAAGTTGGGTTCCCATGAAGCAGACACTGAGATGTGTATTTATGTGCAAATGTTTTATTAAGGAAGTGCTCCAAGGAGAAACTGGTAAGGGAGTAGAAGAGGAGAGAGGTTAGAATGTAATTTCTGGCAAAGTTTTATCTTCAACCTAATGCCGCCAGGGATCTTTGGAATGTAAACCTCACCTTTGTGTCCCATCTCTTGGCAAGGAAGGAGAGCTTCAGACTTAGCCTTATTCATTGACTCTGAGCTGCTTGGGCAAGGGTGGGGGTGGGGGTGCAGAGCAAAGCCCATACACTTTTGGGTCTTTGCTGGGACAGGCAAAAGGCCTCAAGGGCAATCATTGGCAGAGAGGCACAGGCACAGGTGGTTGGAAGAAAACACACAGACCCCTCTGGAGTCATCGGAGGCATCCACGGGGGTTTGAACAGACCACAGACAAAATCTGCTACAGTTCTATTTTCCACTCTGCCACTGACCATAAGTTCTTGGATTTAAGAAGAATGGTTCTTTCTCTTGAATGTGACAATGACCATTATTGACTTATATATAAAATGCTATGGGAATGGTCCCCAAAGCAAAGTTGGTGGGCCTAAGGGCAGTGAGGTCCCACTAAGCCTGGGACATCTAAAGCATTAAGAAAAACATAATTGACGCCATAATAGAGTAAATAATTTATCTTATTTAACAACTGAAGAAACAATGTTTTAAAATCCCAAACAGAAGGAAATAAATAAAAAAGAATACTTATAATAGTTACACAGTATTTTTGTTGGAATATTGATTTAAGCTTTATAACCCAAAGGATATGAAGTTTCTGTTATTTAAATGAAAAACATCTCTTGTGTAAAAAATGAATGAATAAATAAATAAGCAAAAGGAATAACTGCTTCAATGATCCACACCAAATTATAGTATCTGCAATGTATAAAGCTAATTATACAATAAAGCCCAAATAGAGCCTTGAATTTGAACCAAGTTTTGGTACTTGACTCCCATTAAGGCCACTGGGGGCTTGCTCAGCTCCCTAACTCGTGTCTGTGCCCTGACGGAGGACAGCTTGGAGGTACAGCCTTGTCTAGACAAGGAGCATACATGCGAGCCTAGAGAAAAGCCGATAGCGGAAGAGGGGAAGATCTCCCTCGTGCATTAGGAGTCAGCTGTAAGGGGATGGGGTGGAATGTTTCTTTCCCCTTTGCTTCCTCTTTTCTAATCAAAGGTCACCGGACTGCCTTGTTTTCTATTACCAGTTCAGATATTCTAACAATCAGTCTCTTTCAAACAACATAACCTCAGCCAACAGATTCTGAAACACCCATCTTTTAAAAGAGGCAGGTGCCTCAAAAGATCTAGCTAAATAATGAATGGTTTACGTATCGGTGACAAGCTGAACCTGAACCTATCAACAGGCGATGAGCTTGTCAAGCCCTTATGCGATGTGGGTCACAGTGCCACTGGAGGAAAGTAGAGGATATAGAAGATTTAGATTCCACAGCATGGCCCCAGTAGACTGAGCTCAAGCACAGAGTATTAGCCTCATCTCCAGATTCACATATGATGGCCTACAGCAGCACTTTGCATATGGTGGCTTCTTACATGAGGGGGCAGAATTGAACCAAGGAGAGCTGATAAAGCTGGGAGTTACTATTACTATTATACCTCTCAGGGATGCTTTTTGTCAACCATATGAAATCTAATTCCTTAGCTAGACAGTTCAGATTTCCTTTTCCTGGCTCCAATTTAGTTATTTAGTTTTTCCTCCCAAGGACCTTCTTCAGAAAGAGTAAAACAACATTGTGAGTTGAAGTATTTATGTATGGTAAGCGCACATTTTGGTTCTTACTTAAAATATGTTACCAAATTTGAGTGATATCTTTAGAATTGAAATTAACTCAGCTGCACATTCCCTTCTGGCTCCCACCCCACCAGTCCTAACCTCCACTGGTGTTGCCTCTTCAGTTCCTTCACCTTATTTCTCTCCACGGCAGTATCACCATCTGCCCAGCTGGGAAGTTTGCTTGTTTACTTACTTTGTCCCCTTCTTCCCCAACACCCCCACACCTCCCCTTGAAATGTCAGCTCCACGGGACAGAGACTTCGTCTGCCTTGCTCACTGCTCTTCCCTCAACACCTGAAGCAGTGCTTGTGGTTGGTCAGCAAGCACTCAGTATTTGTTCAACAAACTAATGAAGAACTGTGAAACGAAGGGTTTAAATCAGATAGGGGTAAGTAAAATCTATTGTAAGTCAAATTTTATGCACATATGCATATGTGCATTATTCTTGGGAGGAGAAAATTTACAAGTTCTCCATATTCCCAAATTTCTGTGACCCCACAAAGGTGAGTACACCACTGGACCCAACACCTTTGTGAGTTGGTTGAGCTGCTGGATTCTGAGCCTTTGTCTAGCTTCCAGCTCTTTCTCTGTCATTCCCCTCTAGCCTGTTCCATTTTTTCCCCCTGTAATAGAGTCATATTTTTGCCTGTTTTCTTGCTAGCCTGTGAACTCATCAAGGACAGAATAAGCCTCTGATTCATTTCCATACCTGCTTCAGTCCTGACCCTGGTCTGATAGCTTAGAAGCTGTTTGCTAAATGAATGAACAGGACTGGAGAAAGTTGAGGGGGAATTAGAGAACGTCCCTTTTCACAGTTTGGGCTCTTTTTTTTTGTCCCCAGTTAAGATAGCATTTTACTTCTGCTCATTTAAGTTTTGACACATTAACCAAATTCTTTATTTGCTGATCTTCTAACATGAAATTTAAGATAGAGAGTGGGGAAGACAAGACATGCCTTCATCTAAACAACCCATATTTGTGTTTCCAAAAAGAAGTACTTAAAATACAACATTTGTCATGGCATATTATTTATTTTCTGTGGGCAGCTCAGTAGCCTTTTTGGCATGAAATGCTGTAATTGTCTACTGTACATCAGCCACTTCCTCCTGGGCCTGAGACACTTTGACCTTTCCTGGACTTCAAGGTAGGCACCCTCAAGGCAACCAGTGACCATCTTAGGCAGTGAAAGGTGTCAAGTATCGTCCTCTCTTTCATGGCCAGAGGGGCAAGGATTTTGTTCACTGGATTTGATACAATAAAAGGGCAATAAAATGGTATGTCGTTATCATGAACAAAGTAACCAGCCCCTGAATGGATCAGTGTACCTATTTTCTGAGGAAAATACCAAATTCAGTGGTGATTATACAAATGTGGGAATTCAAATATCCCCGATAGTCAGCCTTTTTAGCTCTTTTTCCACATACTTTATCTGAAAACTTTGTAAACTAAAAAGTGAAAGTGAAAGGAATTAAATTATATAGTTTATTTTCCAAAAGCTTTTCTCTTCTTGATCAGTGTTACTATTATGATGCTGATTACCTCTTACTGAGTGTGAGGGAGCTATCGCTGGCCTTTTACAAATATTATTATAGATCCTCATATCACTCTACAATCATTATTGACATTTTACATATTCAAATCCTAAAATTCAGATTTTAAGTGATTTGCCCAGGGCCATCAGGAAAGTAGAGACTGGAATGGAGACTTTCGTGATTCCAAAATGATTCCCCGTCATGAGCCAAACTTCTTTCATTTCTCATTGACCACCCCCACTATGCCTACTACTTTCCCCAAAACCACAGGATTTTTACTCATCTCTCACTGGTTAATCCTTTTAGTCTCAAGTTTTCAGCAAAGTGGCCACTTGCCTTCATAGACTGAGACATTTTCGGACAGCACATGAAATTATTTTTCTTTCTAGTTCTTACCACTTAAGTCTGGAGGCACATCTAGCTCAGCAAATCAACACTAGGGAGAAAAAAACAAACACTCCCAGTGGATAGATTAACATACCAATCCTGTGGCTAAAGGGAGTATTTTTTTCTCTCTCCTTTGTTAGCCTAATAGGTGAGGTCTGTGCTTAAAGAATTCCAAAACACCTGAGATCAGCAATGACAAGTAGTGACTGTTCTGAGTTCACATAGGCTGTCGGTGATTTTGACATTTCTCCAGGGCATTGGCCAGAGGTTAAGGTAAATTAGCCAGAGATTAAACCTGAGAGGTCTGGTTAGATGGAGGAGAAATGTAAGAACCATGGAGCTTTGCTCAACCAAGGGGAGGAGAATGAACTGGTGAGTCTTCCCTTTTTATTAATCTTCCCCAAGTACCAGCGGCTGTGGTACTTGCGGTACTGGCTCTAGGGCCTGGAGAGGGTTAAGTCGGCTAGGGCTCCTGGAGAGAGGAGGGTTGGGGTGGGATGGGGGGAATGAAGGGACTGAGAAAGTTTATCTTCTACACGATGGAGTTCTTGCCATCTTTACATGCATGGGACTTCACGAAGCTTCCTTCTTAGACATTCGTAGAGTAATCGGGTTATACCCCGCATGGTGCTCGTAGAGGTGCCTCCCTTACCATCTGGGTTTCTGTGTAATTGGTCAAACTCAGGCAAAAATGGAAACTTTCTTTTTTAAAGTGTTTGTGGTGTATCTGCATAACTTAGGATCAGTGTGCTTTGGACTGAAATCATGCTAAGACCATAAAAATGTTTTAAGAACCAAGTACTGAAGAAGGAATAGAGTGTGGCTGGAGATTCAGCTCATAGTAACAAAAAGTTCTCACTTCTCCAATTCTTTTTCCCTGATGCCTCTTCCACCAAACATCCTTCAATCTTGAAAAAAATAATCATTAAAACAAAAATTCCCACAGTGTCTATTTGCTGCTGACAAGTTTACATTTATTACTATATTTGATCCTCAGAACTCAGTGATGAGGGAATTAATTCTATTCATAGAAAAGAAATCTAAGACTAGAGAGGCTAAGTAATTTGCCCAAGGTCTTCAGCTTGCAAAGGATGGTGGGGCCTCCAAGACCACTCCTTCCTCCTTCACACTCGACATTGTCTGTAGCTAAGTAATAAGAGTGAGACAGAGCTGGGGTGGAGATGGGACAGAGAGGGCGCACAGGGTGGGAGTGGGGCTAGAGGACATGGGTCATGCAGCAGAAAGGTGTCAGTTTCCTGCTTGGCCTCCTTGGTCCCTATGAGACCTGTGGAAAATCCCCACTTGCCCTCTCTCCACTTACCCTTGTTCGCTAACCTAGGTTTTGAAAATAAGTGACTTCACCTATACCTACACTGTCCAGTAAGGCAGCCACTGGCCATGTGTGATTTTTGAGCATTAGAAAGTAGTTGGTCCAAACTGAAATGTGCTCTATGGGTAAAATACACACCAGATTTTGAAGACAGTAAAATAAAGCATAAAATATCTCCATTTTTGTATTGGTTACACATTGAAATGACAAAGTTTTGGGTAGGTTGGGCTAAATGAAATAAATTATGAAAATTAATTTCACCTCCTTTTTACTTGTTTAATATGGCTTGTTTAAGTTACAAATGTGGGAGGTTTAAGTTACAAATGTGGCTCATGTCAGTGGCTTGCATACCACACTGATCTTGCCAATGGCACAGTGCTCTAAAATCTTCAGACGGGAGGATTTGAGAGCTAAAACCTACTCACCCGCATTCACTGCCAAACAGTTCTGTGCCAGTTCTGATCCTTTTTCAACATCATGGAAAAAAATTACTATTCATGAAAAAATATGAGTTTTCATGAAAATCTATGGTTGCTCTTTATATTTCTCTAACCAGGTGTTGTGCTGGCATTTCAATTCTCTTAATCAGAGTGGCCATGGATAACAAAGGATTACCACTATTTCCTTCTTTTTTTTGGTGATCAAACACTTCTAGAGACACCCACCAAAAAGCGACTGGGAATCCCACTGCGCTCACCTCAGGTCATCAGGCAGGCAGCTGGGCAGGGGGAGGTAGCTGTAGATTTCTCCTTCCCAAACCTTCCTCATGAGCTTGGGCAGAGAGCACAGATGCAAATCCTACCCAGTGGCTCAGAAAACTCAGTGCGTTAGGTCAGCCTGTCCAGCAGGAGTCCTGGGCACACAATCTAAGAGAAAGCTGCTCCCTAGCTCCTGGCAACTGCGGTCCTGCAGGACAACGGACCCAGCACTGTCAGATCGTCAGAGTTTAAAAGGAAGCCAGAAAACTGTGTGTTTATGTGAAATAGCCTTATTATAAATTTTGGAAACAAATTCTTCTTCTGTCTCTTTTTTTAATATTCAGTAGCCAAACGAAAAACAGGCATGGTCTAGTCCTGGCTTTTGGGGACTATCAGTCTGTGACTTTTACAACCTCTCCTACTTATCTTTTCCTGAAGCTCCTCACAGCCCAATTTGACTTCTGTTTGCAATCCTCATTTCAAGTGAACAGTCCCTTGTGATGTGTGAGAGGATTTGAGGTGAAAACTGCCTGAGGGGGAGAGGGATGTCTGTGTGATTATTCAATTCAGTTAGGGTCATTTTGTTGAGCTCAGCACAGATATAAAGCATTGCACTAGCTTCCAGAGTTGAACCTTGTTTTGTCCTTACAGTTTCCTGTTCTCCGGCCCTCACTTCTCCAGGAAGGGCAGCAGCTGGTACTCGCTGTGCCAGGCATGGTACCACATGCTTGGCAAACAGCATTTCGTTTTACCTGGTAACAACCCATATGACAGAAACCCCATTGTCCAGCGCTCCTCCCCACCACTGCCTAGCTCAGATAGTCTCTTTTCTCCTCTACTCTCTTTTTCCTAAAAGGGTTCCTTTTTTTCTCTCCAAATGTTTCATCAGCCCCTCCATTCACAGTCAGCTTGTCTTGTTTTCTCTTGAGGTCTCTCAGGACCCACAGCTTCCCTAACACTCCACAGGGGCCTTCACACTGCCAGCCTGACATGAGCTGGAGCTTCAGGCAGTATTGCTATGGGACTTGGACTAGGATTTGGTTTCAGGCTGACTGGGTCTGAATTCTGGTCCTGTTAGGCAAGATATTTAACCTCTTGGAGCCATTTATAACATGGGGATAGTAATACCTACCATTCAGAGTTGTGGTGAGGATTAAATGAGGTTAACACTGCCTTTCCAAAAACAGCTTCTGCAAAACATATTGTTAGAAGATACTATGTAAAATGCCCCCTTTTCTCCCTATTGATTAGGTTTGAGAAATAGTAGGTGAAACAGGTAAGCAGATAACAGCAGAGCCTCCAAGAGTCTTTAATACATCATGATTCTTTGTGACTAAGAGGAGTATTATAGTGTACCCGATTTTCCAAACTCATGTATCCATGGAATCTTTGGTGTGCACAGATTCTCTCATGACTACTGCCCCATGGAAGCACTGTGGGGAAGGTTAGGATGTTGTCAATGAATGAAAGCTATTGTTATATCATCATCACCTTTCCAGGAGAACAAAAGTCATGATATCTCTGCCCAGCTGAGTGCATATTAGCCTCTGTTTCAGAGTCCTTTCTGGCCACACTCACTGCACTTGTTTTCTGGAGGTGGTCATTTGGCTCCTGAGACACAAATACTGCTTTGTTCTATCAGCCTCAATGCCCGACTGTTCCGTCAGTGCTCGCTCTCTGCACAGGTACCTACTGACTAAATGTCAAAACTACAAGTGGCAGCAGCCCCAGAGAGCAAGAAGGAGGACATGGGGTTGATAGGTGAGCACTGCACTTTGTGGTAACATTTTTCTGGGTAACAGTGGAGGAGCCCTGGACCCAGACAGCAGATCTGAGCTTTCATCAAGGCACCACGGCTAACTGTCTGGTTATAGACACCTTTTTAAATATTGCTAGTTGCCTGAGAATGGTGTCACTTACTCCTCTGGAGGCACAAAGTTTGTGAAGTTCACAAAAGAAATGTGGAAAGTTCCATGAAAATATAAAGAGTTCATTTACATCCAAGGAGTCAGGTGTTAGGGTGTACAATTTGAAAATGTGAGAATACATACATTAATTGAGAGTGATGTTGAGAATATTACCACTTTCTCTGATTAAATTTGAGGAATGAAACTTGTTTGAGGTCTTCTATTATAGAAGCAAATAATATGTGAAAATTTGGTAAGAGAAATCAGGAATTTTGCACATCTGATTTATTTTGAATAGTATCAACTTCTCCTCATATTCCATTAAAGGATAAAAATACCACTCAAAGAATCAAAATTGAAAATCAAAAAGCAAGCCCTCTTTGCTCTTTCCTGTCTTCCATCAACATTTATATTAACAGCTTGGATGAAGATAAATTTATCTAAGCTGCAACTGACCGCTTGTGATGAGGGAGAGATGGCAATATCAGTGACAGAATCAAGTTTCAAAAAATTTTCTAGGCTGGATTGCAGGAGAGAAGTTGGCAAAATGCAGTGTAACAGGCCTCAGTATTGAGTTTCCTGCTGTAAGTTATTATCAAAATACAAGGTGAGGGTATCAATGTCTTGAGCTTAATAGCTATGCATTAAAAAGTAATTGAAGTACTTTATTTGGTTATGGCTAAATGTTAATTGCTAGTATGATATAGCTATAAAAATCAGTCCTTGGATGTTTCAGTAGGAGTCTGTTCTGCATAGTAGAATAAATAATAGTTTTGCTAGAATCTGTATTATTTAAGAAAGCTCTAGGAAGTTATTTTTAGTTATAAGATCCCCCTAAGAAGCGCAGTATATCTGGAAGGATATCTGAATATCAAGGTAAGAACTGTTTAAAAGACATGGGCAGTGGCTCCCTGGGAACCACTGTGGTGTTTGTCTTCCGGCAGTTGAGTGGCTGATGTGGAGAACAGAGTAGATTCTGTTGGCAGCCTGACTTATTTTCCTAAGGGAAGAGCTTCCTAACCATTTTGGCGACAGAATGTTAACACGACACCCCTGCAATGAATGTCATCCCTGTATAATCCCCTCCAGTTGCTTGTAGGCAGAGCCCATAGATATGATGAGTTGTAATTCCTGTGATTCTGTTATGTTATGTGGAGAAAGGAGGTTTTACCGATGTCAGCATGACTCAGATGAGTTCATCAGAAGGGAGATTGTCTGGGTGGGCCTGACCTAATCAGACAAGCCTATATGGGGACTGTGACCTTTCTGAAGTTAGAGCGATGTAAAACATAAGAGAGATTTGAGGCAAGGGAGCTTCCAAGACTCCATGTGGCAAGGAACTTGGAGTGGTCTCTAAGAAGCAGCTTCTGGCTGACAACCAGGCAGAGAAGGTGGGGGGGTGGGGGGCTCTGTACTAAGTTACAAGCAACAAATCCT